TCTGTTGGGAAATTGGGTTGTCACCTCCAATCCTGATGAAAGGTCAGACAGCAGTTTAGTCTCAGCATGGTGACATGGAACTTTAGCATGAGTGACTCCATTCTGATTTCTAGCCTGGTCTGTTGGGGCCTCTTGCAGGAACCTGATCCTGGATAGTCCCCTCCTGTGACTGCACTGGGTGTGTCCGGCATGATCTGTTTTTGTTGTTGTCATTGTTGCTGCTGGTGTTATTTTGAAGGTGGCTGAGGTCAAACCCAGGACCTGTCACTTCCCTGCAGAGCCACATCCCCAGCCTCTGACTGGACATGTTTAATATCTTTTCAAAAAATCTCATGAAAAGATCGTGGTCCTGTCATACACATGGGAGACGGGCTCCAAGAGAACAAGCAGGGGACCAGAGAGACACGTGGTCTGGTAAGGCCCGGTGTGAGCCCAGACCCTTGGCTGTGGCCAGTGCTGCTTCCCCCGCCTTTCCTTGACCATGACTGTCCACCTGGGCCCTGTGATGCGCTGACCCTTCCATCCACCTAGAGGAAGTAGGCTGCAGTGAGAGGCGCTCTGTGTGCAGCTGCAGTGGTTCTGCTCTGCCCTGGATGTGCTGCTTAAAAATTTCTCTTGGGTCTTTTTTAATTTATTCTGTAACCAATTCATTCATATCAGTTAATAGGTCATTAAAGTCTGGCAAATGAGTTCTTGACAGTAAGAGTCAAAAATGCAGAGGAGGCGACACTGTGTACTGGTTATGGCCGCAGAGCAGAATGGTGGCTGCCCAAGTCCTATGGACGCTCTTAGGACACAGGATAATCAGAGATGCACACCCTCGGGAGACCATCAGAAAAGATCTGATTAGGGGGCACTGTCACTGTCCTCCCCTTCCCTGCGATCACTGGAGGTGGGAGGCACTTGGCAGTCATGTTGTTTGTAAACTAGAGGCAACAGTGTGCCTTGTAGGCTGGGGAGGGTTCGGCCAGCCAGCCAGGTGCGAGCCACAGAACTGTGGAGAGGGGACTCTCCTGCTCCCACAGTAGGGCTGAGTGACAGGGCTCCTGGTAGAACCTGTATCTCCCTTGTTCTGCCTGAAGTGAGAGAGAGCTTGGAAGGGAGTACGTTCCCTTGGAAGGGAGTTTATATGTGAGTCTTTAAAAAGAATACTCACACGTTACAAAAATAGCCAATGTAACTTGTTCTGCGCACGTACAGTTCTGACACTTTGATGTTTATCGACTCATCTCCTCTTCACACATCTTCTGAAGCGAGCATTTTCTCCACTTTACAGCTGGAATGGGTTCAGAGGTCAAGTGACTTACCCAGTTGTGCAGCTAATGGTGATGTCAGGATTTGAACCTGAGCGCTTCATACTAAAGTCCATGCATGCTTCATTACCAAGCCACAGGCAGCCCACTCAGTCACCTTCTTTTCAGATTTGTGACTTTTCATATATTTTTAAGAAAATCCTGGGTCTGAATCTCAGAGCCCTTGCCTAACAAGTAAGGCCCTGGGTTCCACTTCTAGCAACACACACACACACACACACACACACACACAGAGAGAGAGACAATCCTCCCCTTCTTTTTAGTACAGGCTTTGAAATGTTTTTAATTTTTGCTTTTCACATTTAGAACTTGATTGTCAGGTTGGAGTGCGTTAGCAATCGAATTGTGCTTGTTGTACGTGGACAACCCAGTGTGCCTACAGACGCCATTAAAAAAAAAAAAGGCTTTTCATTTGATGACTTTGTAAGTCAAAACTAAGAACCAGTATTCCCATCTGGAGCGTGTGGCAGGTTCTAGTTTTGAAGAGGAGGAGAAGTGGTGTAGGAGTGGTAGGAAAGGGAGGGTGAGATGGAGACAGGGGAGAGTGGGTGCAGAGGAGGAGGGAAGCCTGAGTCCCAAGCACAAGAGGCAGGCACTTCCTTTTCTGAACCAGGTCCTTAAGGAGGAAGTCCACGCTCCAGACGGGAACACTGCTACTTTAATAATCAGACAACATATAAATTAACATTTGCTGCAATGTCAGGGAACCTTAAGAGAAAGATACAGCATATGAGCTATCACAATAGCTTTTAATAAACTAATTGCTTATTAAAAGTGATCCCATTTTACATGAAATAATTAAATTGCAGATATAGAATCTCCACAAAGTAACTAAGGAAACCAACTGGGCTGTCTTTAATGTGACTCTGTGCTACTTGGGCTGCTGGGAGCCGCAGGTGACCTCCCTCACACAGCCTGCAGCACACAAGGTGCTCGCTGCTAAGGAAAACTAACCCTCAATAAGGAACCTGGAGCCAGGAGCCACGGGTTACTTAGTGTCCCCTCCCGACTGTGGCAGGTTCAGCAACTCAGTGAGACCCTGTCTCAATAAAATATAGAAAAGGGCTCGGGACGGGGCTTCGTGATTAAGCGTCTCTGAGTTCAGCCCCTGGTACCACAAAAAAAAAAAAAAAAAAAGAGGATGCCTCTCTAGGCTAAACTGATTGTTGACATTTCGTGAGTGTTTTAGATTTTGTGTGTTATCATCGTGAAAGTATAGCAGGGTAACCTCTGTGTAGTTACTTCTAGCAGATTGCTGCAAAGGTAGATTTTTAATGGGAACCAGAGAAAAAGGATATGATCTTATTCTGTCTCCATGATGATAAATTTGTAATTTGATGTGTACTGTTAATTTTCATCACCTTGAGATGGTTGTTTCATTATTCACTCTGTCAGGCTCAGCAGAGAACAGATTCTAAGGCCTTTTCCTTTGTGCCTTGCTGTAATTCACCACCACAAGTCACACCCTGGGACACCTTTTTTTTTTTTTTTTTGGACTAGGGATTGAATCCAGGAGCACTTTACCACTGAGCACTAGCCCTGCTCCTTTTTTTATTTTGAGACAGGGTCTCACTGAATTGAGGCTGGCCTCATACTTGTAATCTTCTGCCTCAGCATCCCTGACCCTCCTGAGTCCCTGGGAGTATAGACGCCACTTGGAGGTTTTTTGGTTTTTTCCTAAATTTGAAAGACCTGACCCCTCCCCAACTTGGCTAAGTGCTTTTTTTTTTTTTTTTTTTTTTTTAAGTTTTTAAATCTGAGCAGGTTTTTTTTTTTTTTTTTTGAGTTCCTTTGAATGGTTCTTACCCATATGAAAAGATAGAGTGTGAGCTTTGAAGCACCTGCCTAACAAAACTTTTACTAGCTAAAGCTTTAATAATGTGAGTTTCAGAAGACCTGACCTTAGTCCTTTTTTTTTTTATAATTTATTTTTTTATTGGTTGTTCAAAACATTATAAAGCTCTTGACATATCATATTTCATACATTAGATTCAAGTTGGTTATGAACTCCCAATTTTACCCCAAATACAGATTGCAGAATCACATCGGTTACACATCCACATTTTTACATAATGCCCTATTAGTAACTGTTGTATTCTGCTACCTTTCCTATCCTCTACTATCCCCCCTCCCTCCCCTCCCATCTTCTCTCTCTACCCCATCCACTGTAATTCATTTCTCTCCTTGTTTATTTTCCCATTCCCCTCACAACCTCTTATATGTAATTTTGTATAACAATGAGGGTCTCCCTCCATTACCATGCAATTTCCCTTTTCTCTCCCTTTCCCTCCCACCTCATGTATCTGTTTAATGTTAATCTTTTCTTCCTGCTCTTCCTCCCTGCTCTGTTCTTAGTTGCTCTCATTATATCAAAGAAGACATTTGGTATTTGTTTTTTAGGGATTGGCTAGCTTCACTAAGCATAATCTGCTCTAGTGCCATCCATTTCCCTGCAAATTCTATGATTTTGTCATTTTTTAGTGCTGCGTAATACTCCATGGTGTATAAATGCCACATTCTGACCTTAGTCCTTGATCTATTGATTCCTTACCTCTTTCTGCCCCAGTCCCTGGGCGTTCCTGTTACTGTGACCAAGTTCATCCCCAGCACTTGTGATTTGGTAACAGTCACCTTTGGCACTTTCAGCAGAGCCTTCCCTTCCCATTCACCTCCGCTCATCTCTAGCTACCGATTCAATGTCCTTATTAGAGTAGAAAATGATCTCCTTACCCACAACACCACGTAGATAAAAAGACACCAAGACACCGGGAAGCTGGCAGCACATGCCTATAATCCCAGCCCCCAGGAGGCTGAGGCAGGAGGATTGCAAATTAAGACCACCTCAGCAATTTAGCAAGACCCTGTCTCAAAATAAAAATATGAAGGGGGGCTAAGAGTGTAGCTCAGTGGTAGAACAGCCCTGTGTTAAATTCCCTGTACCTCAAAACTAAAGTTTAAAAATACAAAATAAAAAGGAGTGGGAATGTAGCTCAGTGGTAGAGTGCTCGCCTAGTATGTGCAAGGCTCTGGGTTCAGTTCCCCCACTGCTGGGAGGAAATAAGAAAAAGAAGAAGCCATTATAATTAAAGTTTAATATTTATATATATATACACCATGCTACCCCACTCCAGGCCGTGCTGGGGATGGAACGAACCCAGGGCTTCTGCCCACTGGGCCAGTTCTCTTCTGCTGACCTGCCTTCCAGTCCTGAGACACCCATTGTTTCCAGCATTTTCAGATAGCCATAGTGTGTAAAGCATGGGCCAGAGTGACAGTGATGTCTAAACACTGCAATGGTTTTCCTACCATTAAGTTGAAAAGCAGATGTACCCTGTCGTACACTAATGTGCTTCTGAACAAATCTCTGCATGCAGAATGTGAATTAATTCATGCCTTAACCCACTTAGGGAGCTTTGCTATTTAAAGAGACTGTGATGCGTTCTGCAGCAAAAAAAAAAAAATTCTCCCAGTTTACAGCCTGTGCAGGTCTTTTTTTCCTAGACTGTTGTCTCTGTGGCTGAGCAGAGTGTGGCAGTACCCAGGAGCAGGGCAGGCTGCTGAGGGCAGGGTTGGCTCTCTGCTGGGAGCTGAGAGTCGGTGAAGCTTCATCAGGCTTTGGGCCATTCATCCTGGCCCGGTGGTCCTCTGGGGCTCCTTCTAACGTGCACCTCTTGCTTTTGTGCGCAGATCGAGCGGTTGGAAGTAGGCAGCCTCGCCCAGACATCCAGTGCGGTGGCCTCCAGCGCCGATGGCAGCATCCACACAGAGTCAGTGGATGGCATTCCAGACCCTCAGCGCACGAAGGCTGCCATCGCTCACCTGCAGCAGAAGATCCTGAAGCTCACAGAGCAGATCAAGATCGCGCAGACGGCCCGGGACGACAACGTGGCCGAGTACTTGAAGTTGGCCAACAGCGCCGACAAGCAGCAGGCGGCCCGCATCAAGCAGGTCTTCGAGAAGAAGAACCAGAAGTCCGCCCAGACCATCCTCCAGCTGCAGAAGAAGCTCGAGCACTACCACCGGAAGCTCCGGGAAGTGGAGCAGAATGGGATCCCCCGGCAGCCCAAGGATGTCTTCAGGGACATGCACCAGGGTCTGAAGGACGTGGGCGCAAAGGTGACGGGCTTCAGCGAAGGAGTGGTGGACAGCGTCAAAGGGGGATTTTCCAGCTTCTCCCAGGCCACCCATTCGGCAGCAGGAGCCGTGGTCTCGAAACCCAGGGAGATCGCGTCGCTGATTCGGAACAAATTTGGCAGTGCCGACAACATCCCCAACCTGAAGGACTCTTTAGAGGAAGGGCAAGTGGACGAGGCGGGGAAGGCTCTGGGGGTGATTTCGAACTTCCAGTCAAGCCCAAAATATGGTAGCGAGGAAGATTGTTCTAGTGCCACTTCAGGCTCAGTGGGAGCCAACAGCACCACGGGGGGCCTCGCTGTAGGAGCTTCCAGCTCCAAAACCAATACCTTGGACATGCAGAGCTCAGGATTTGATGCACTACTCCACGAGATCCAGGAGATCCGGGAAACCCAGGCCAGACTGGAGGAATCCTTTGAGACCCTCAAGGAACATTATCAGAGGGACTATTCCCTAATAATGCAGACCTTGCAGGAGGAACGGTATAGGTGAGTCACGGGAGATTAAAATCCTAAATTGTTTTGGGGTGGCCCCTTCCCTTGCTTTATCTTCCTCTAGAGTGCCCAGAGCAGTTAGGTGTGTCATATGACATCTGAATTAGGTTCGGGTTTCACGGCCAGCGAAACAGAGCCAGTGCAGGTCAGTGAGTCCCGAGACCACACGCTGATGAAGCAGTCAGCCAGTGACAGAGTCACAGTCTTCATTCCTGTTTAAGACTTCAGAGTGGAGCCCACACTCCCCAAGGCAGTCCATCTGTTTATTTGCTATCCCAGAACCGCACTGGGTCCTCAAAGCCACATTGAATTCAAAAGCTCTTAGTTGTGAGAACTCCAGGACAAAAGTACAAGCCAGCCAGAGAACCCTGTGGGTGTTTGGCCTTACACATTATCTGGGCAATTGGCTAGAAAGATCACACTGAAAACAGACCAGATAAGTTTCTGTGGCTTTTATTATGAATTGGCAGATGTTTGAAGGGGAGGAGACTTAGACATGCAATGGCTCTACAGTGGGGCGTCCCAAAGGACTGAGCGCCTTGAGGCATCATCGGTGCCAAAGGTAGAAGCCTGTTTCTTCCCCATGGCCCCACCACCAGGCCAGGGACTGACGCCAGGGTCTCATGGTAGCCATACATGCTGCCACTGAGCTGTGCCTCAAGTGTGGCATCTTTGGGGGGGGGGGTTATATTATACTAGGTATTTATATTAGGTCACTGTCAGCTTCTGCAAGTGTCTGTCCTTTTCCCTTCTTTTCTTCACATGCAGAAAGAAAGAATGTCCCCCTCAAAGTCCTCATTCAGAATCCTCCCAGGCCACCTCATGATGCAGGTTGAGGACCGGCCTGGGGCGGGGGGGGAGCCACAGACCTTCAGCTCAGCCAAGGACCCGGGTTTTGGTCTGTTACGGGGACTAACTCAAGGAACCCTCAGTACTTCTGCTATAAAACCAGACGTTAAACAAACCATCTCTGAGGGTCCCTTTCACCTCTTAAAAATAAAAGTGATGTTTTTTAAAGTTTACTTTTATGAAACAATCTTTGGGCCTGAAATAAATTGTTGGCTTGTGTCAGTGGCTCTGAGAGTGAAAGCCACAAGCTCTTTCAGATGGTAACAGTGCGTCAATCCTGCCTCTCTCCTGTACTCTTCTTCAATTCCAACTCAAGACTTCAAGGGAGAAGAAAAGTGTGTAGAGGAAAGAAAGTTCTAAACGTGAACACTGGTTGCTATTTTCATTTCAGTGCTTCACATGTGCTTTATACACTGAGGACTTATGTGTAAAGTAGTGAGCAATCTCAGTACTCGGGGGGACTCTAGAACACTCGGACCCAAGTCCCAGGTTCAGGTCCAGTGTGGTTGCTTACTAACTCTGAAAACCAGCAAGTTTCCTAATATCTCTAAGTCTTGATTTCCTCATCTCTAACATAGAAATAATAATAACAATCCTGTGCAAGATTATTGTGACATTTAAATGAAATTCTGTGAGACACGTTGCTCAACACCTGACCCACGGCATTCATGGTGTCAGCCAGGAACTGCTGCCACCCAGCCCCTGCCTGGCATTGCTCGGCCATTGGCTTAACAAACACTGCCAGCTTTGACTCCTGTTCTGAATGGAGAGCAAAACATTGCACTGTTCAGACTCCTCCGATTCATCTAGAGCTTGTGGTCTTCGAATCCCATGTGGGTCAGAAAATCAGAGAAAATACCCCACGTTTCCCAGGGCCTACCTTGTATCCATTTAAAATAAATCAGACAAGAACAGCACTTGAGCTCCTCGTTGGCACCTCACGTAGGAGGTGTGAGCAGTGCTTTGACTGCACTGCACTTTGGGTTCTCTGTAGAAGGTAAATGACTAGTTTTGTTTTATTTATTTGTTTGTTTGTTTATTCAGTATCTTTGACAGTGAATATATTTGCTAACTTTGTTGGTCTTTGAGTAGTTTCACATAAGTGAGATCCTCCCCCCACACACACACACTGAAGCCTATTTTAAGCACCAAAACTTTCCACATTTTAGGCTCTTGGAGAGTCTCTCTGCCTCCTTTTGACAAGATACACTGAACCTAACTTAATGAAAATAGCTTAGAACGGCAGCTTCCTGCCCAGAGGGACTCACTCGGAGCTAGTGGGCTTCGTCTGCAGAAGATGGGAGATGGTCCTAGGCTTCTGAGTTCATCTGTCTACTTTGACAGTTTGTGTCTTCCCCTTCCCATTTCTCCTTCGCTTTCGGCTGCCTGCAGCACCCCTCTCCCTCCCTCCCTCCCCGGACCCCCGTCTCTCTCTCTCTTTCTCTCTCTCTTTTTTATTTTTTCCTCTTTCCTGGGTGCTGGGGATCAAAGCTAGGGCCTTGCTCATGTTAGGCCACCATAGAGCTGCACTCCAGCCTGCTGGCCCTGTGTCTGCTCTGTCGCATGCTCTCCTTTTGCCTAGAAAGGAGGTAGGCTGAGGGTGAACTTGGTGGGCTCTTCTGTGACCAAGACCATTGGATGCACATTTGGTCAACTAGATACTCCAGATTTCTTTGCCTTTTTTTTTTTTTTTTTTTTTTTTTGGCAGTGCTGGGCCTGGAATTTGGGTCTTGGACAGGCTACATCCTCTCCCACTAAGTTACATCCCTAGCCCATAGAGCCATTTAAAAAATTTTTTCTATGCTGTAATTTTGTTCGTTTGTTTGTTTGTCTGTTTTGGTTTTTGTATATAACTAATACCTGGGGCTTGGGCTGGGGCTGTAGCTCAGTGGCAAAGTGCTTGCCTAGCATGTGTGAGGCACTGGGGTCTATCCTCAGCACCACATAAAAATTAACAAAATAAAGGCATGCTGTCCATCTACAACTATAGAAAAAATTTTTTAAATATTAATATCTGAGTTGACAAGGGAGGCCATGCACAGTGTTGCTGCTCGTTGTTTGGTGAGAACAGTGGTGACACTGTCACTAATAACATTACCAAACCCCTGGGTCTGCATGATGCCAGATATTGGTTTTTTTAGTTTGATTGTAAACCCCTGGGTGCTCTGAGGTGCACTGAACTAAATCTTCAGCCCTTCCTATGTTTTATTTTGAGACACAGTCTTGTTAGGTTGCTGAGGGCCTGATTCAGTTGCCCAGGCTAGGATCCTCCTGCCTCAGGCTCCCAAGTCCCCAGGACAACAGGCATGGCCACCTCTCTGGCCTAGAGGCTTTAAAGGCAAAGATCCATCCTCACAACATTCCTGCGTGTGCATTATACTGTCTCCAGTTACAGACGAGAAACTTCAGGCCTAGTATCAACCATGGTCACCTGGTAGTGAGTAGTGAAGCCACACTTTAAGCCCAGTTTTTCCTGACTCTGACTGCAGTATTCTTTTTAATGCAGGACAGGTTTTGTTTCGGGCTCAACCCTGAACTCCGTGTAGTTGAAAGACTCGCCTCGTTCTTAGAAGCACCCATTGCATGGGCAGAGGGTATTGGTCTCTCCCAGGTCAAATGTGTGTTGACTAAAAGTTGAGTCGCTGTTTTAAACATATTACTTAAAATTCTGTGAAGTGTGCAGGCTCCCAGAAGGTTTTCAAGGCAGCGTAGCAGTGCAGGGGACCGACTCCCCCACACCCCAGGGCTGAGAACGTAGCTCCGGAAGAGCAGCTGCCTGATGCACAGAGGGCCCCAGGCTTCATCCCCAGAGCCACAAAAGAAGAAGAAGAAGAAAGAAATGCCTGTCCCAGTCACCTCTCCCCTTTTCTGCATCCTTCCTCAGGAATGTCCCTCTCTCAATGTGCCTCCATTATTCTGTATGTCACTGATAACACCAGGCAAGATGAGTGCCAAGACCATCTGCTTAACTCTAAAGTACTCAGAAGCATCGAGGCTTGTGGAGGACCACGTGCATGTGCTTGCATGCGTGTGTGGTCTCCCCACATAATTTGTGCCAGGACTGACTACACTTAGGCCAGGAAGCCATCATAGCAGAGCTGGGCCTGAGACCACCTCAGCCCTTCTGGCCAGGGCCAGGCTCTTAGTCTCCGAGCTTTGCTCTGTCTCTCAGAAACACGAGAGAGCGCACACTAGACAGAGGTGGGAGATGAGGTTTGGGGTGATGAGGACCGTGCTGACTTCAGGTTGTTCCCGTCCAGCCAGTCCCTTCGTCCCCGTGAAGCGCTGTCTCATGCTGATTAGTGGCATCTGGGTTTGTAGTCCTTCGAAGGTGAAAGAGACCTCAAATATCTATTTTAATCTAATTTAAGATGAGTACACTGAAACCCAGAAACAAAGTGACTTACTGGGTCACACCGTAACACTGCTTCACGGGTACTTAATTTGCTGCTAAAATCTGAGGACCCGGTGTGTTCCGCAGGGGTGTGGCGTAACTAATAGAGTGCCCGAAGGAAAGGGTCCAGGCTCCGCCATGGCAAAATGCACTAAAAATAAGAGCTGGGGGACGCCAGGGCTTTCCTGAGGAGATCCGCGGTTCCTGCCATCCAGGGCAGTGCCGTGGACAGTCAGGCTGGAAACCCTCCCGGTGCTCATGAGCAGCAGCGTCATTTTGAAAGCTTGTAATTTAAGGGGATTGTTGTTCCTTGGAAATCAGCTTCTGAGAGTGTTTGTATTAAGCCCAGGGATATTTGAAACTGGTCTGAGTCACAAAAGCAAAAATTAGGAAGAAAGTAGTCACCACGAGCGGTCATTACACCAGTAGAACAGGTGGGAACCGTGCTAGCCTAGCCAAGCACGGGCCAGAGGAGTCGGATGCAAGAGAGGAGGTGCGGTCAAACGTGATTTTACGTGACTTTGGCATCATGGGACGTAAATCAGAGATATGTAGTTATATGGCTATTTTAGCCCCTTTTATTTAAAGTGTTAGTGCCTGTCAACTGAAAATGGATCTGAGAGTCAGTAAAGAATATGTTGAAGGGTAGATTTAGGCAATAAGTTTGAAATAGAAACAGAGAATATGAAATATTGAAAAAAAATCCCTAAGAGATGCACTTGTCGTGCGTGGGGGACACACGGGTAATCCC